TTATCAATTTTTATAAATTCATATGATGTGATTTTCTGGAATTTTCTTTGGGATTCTGTCTTTCACTGTTAGAATGTAAATATGATTAAAGTTATAGATCGTTGCATTCTTTGTAAGTGGGCAAACCTGCAAAATCAGCAAGGGGTCAAATACTTACTTCCCCCAGTGTATATATACATACATTGAAGGCACACTCTGTGGGTTATATGTTAGGTTTAAGTGTCTTTTGCACGAATAGAAATGTTGAAAATAAAGTTTAAAAAGCTAAAGTCCTGCTAAAAGTTTACGGGGCTTTATGGGCCTCACTCACTCAGTTTAGACTCAGTTTAGCTGGTTCTGTATTGTAGCTTCATATATATATATATATATATATATATATACACACATTGAGAGAGCATTCAGAGCACACTCTGACCTGCGAACTCAGACCTACGGAGGGACGGAGAGAGAGAGAGAGGCGTGAGGATCAGAGGTTTACGGGAAAATAAAGTAAAGACTGAAAAGGCAAGCTTAAAGTTTACGGGGCTTTGTGGGCCTCTTTTCTCAGGCTCAGTTTAGCTGGTTCTGTATTGTAGCTTCATTTAAGTTGAGGGCACACCCCTTGGATTATATATCAGGGTTAAGTGTCTGTCGCACCAATAAAAACTTTGAAAATAAAGTCTAAAAAGCTAAAAAGTCCAGCTTAAAGTTTAGTATATATATGTATATAAATATATATATACACACTGATGTACATTCGAGGCCTACCCTGTGGGTTATATTCCAGGTTTAAGAGTTTAATAAAGTTAAAAGTTTATGGGGTTTTATGGTACTCTTTCACTGCTCAGCTCGGATGGACTTAGGTCAGTGTAACTGGTTCTGTATTGTATTTTATCTTCATTTAAATATATACATATGCACACTTCATATACAGATCTACATAAAAAGGTACAACTCTTGGGTTATATGTCAGGTTTAAGTGTCTGTTCTAACCAGCAAAAACTTGGAAAATAAAGACAAAAGAAATTTTGTCAAACAATTTTGGTCAAACA